TCCAGTAAGCTCTGCCACTCACGACCATACCTTGCGTTTGCCCTTTGCCGCGTCGATGATCAACAAAATTGATATGAGGTGGGTCATGGCCAGACGCCGAAGACCCTAACTAAGATGCCTTGGTTATTGGCGTCTCAAAAAAGGTCGCATCCAAAAAAAATCCAAACAAAGGTCAAATTGTGCTAATCTTTTCTTAATGCATGGGTCAAAACAGTAAAAAGGTCCCGCCGACACAACATGGATATCTACAGTGTTTGATCCTGGTTTATTTTGAACCTTGAGGGCGTTTCCATACAAGATTCTTTTTGAGAGAAAAATACAGGATTTTGTTGATGTGCCAGATTAAATCCCGGGATTGTTGGCTGCGAACACGATTGGGCCAGCCCAACAAGCGTGAAGCTAGGTTTTTTATTTATTTTCTCTAAGGCTCGAAGTAAAAATGCCCCAAAAAAAGAGAGACACAGGGGATTCGACTTTGCATTTGACTATGCAGACCGAGTTGCCAGCCAGTAGAATAGACTGTTTTTAGTGATTTTATTAGAAGCCTGAACGTATTTATCCAAAAATCGTAGCATCGCTATTTGAAAACCTTATTTAAGGGTAAACTAATTTTGAAAATGTAAACAACTTTGAAATCCCCGAACATTTTCTAAAGTGCAAACACTTTTTGAAATTCTAAGTACTTTTAAAAAAGAACATTATTTTGAAAACACACCAATTTTGAAAAAGTGAACACTTTTTGAAACATAATTAATTTCAAAAAATGGGGAAAAAATTCGAATCCTGCAAAAAAATGTAAAAACATTCAAGAATTTTTTAAAAATTTCGTTCATAAATTTAAAAAATGTTTAGGAATTTTAAAAAATACTTGCGCATTTCATAAATAGTTCAGAAGTTCAAAAATGCTTATTTTTTCTATTTTTGGTCACAAATTCAAAAATGTTTTGTGTTTTTAAAAACAAATTCGCAATTTACAAGTTCTATTTGCATTTTTAAAGACCGATCGTGATTTCAAAAATTGTTCACATTTGCCAAAATATGTTTGGAGTTCAAAAGTGGTTCACATGTTTCAAAAAATGTTTGGATTTTCAAACAGTTTCCAAAAAAAGTTTTTGGAATTTTTTAAATTATTCACCCTTTTTAATAAACGTTTCAATTTTTTGCAAAAATGTTTACAGAGGCACACACTTGTGTGTGTGTTTTTAGGGGGGCTTCTGTCTGTTCTTATACTGGTCGAGCTACCTATTGTCACGAGCGTGCTTGGGTGTGAGTGGTTAGCTGCTGGGACTGTGACTCTGTAAGTGCCTGATCTTGAGTTCAAATTATACAGGACAAGTGCTTTTGTGTAGCTTAAAAGAAATGTTATTTGTCATTACAAAAAGTTAATTTTTTTAACAAAGAAAACAAACAAGAAAAGAAAGGGTAAAACAGAATAAAGTGAAAAGAAAAAAAACAATAAACCAGAGCAGAACCAGCACGAGCGACTGCGCTAATGGGCCGGCCCGACTTGCCACATGAGTGAATACCACCAGAAGGGTCGGCCTGACTTGCCACGTCAGCGAATACCATGGCCGGCCTGACTTGCCACGTCAGCGGATACCATCTGAACGCCCTTAAGATTCAAAATAGACCGGGTTCACAGAGTTTGTGCTAATTTCTGAAATTTCAAGTTTAGGATTTGATTTCGCTTTCATCTGCAAATTTTAGATTTATTTTGGACTTTTTTTAGTGGTGAAAAACCACGAGAACATGCCCCACTGTTCGTAAGTTGCTTTGTTTAATAGGATATGTAAGTTACTTTTTGATGGAGGGACATTCGAACTAACCTCACCAACCCAATTATGTACTATTGAAATATACCCCTCCGTTCCTAAATACAAGTCTTTTTAAAGATTCCGACAAGCGACTACATACGGAGCAAAATGAGTAAATCTACACTTTAATATATGTCTACATACATTCGTATGTTCGTTGTCCATTTGAAATGTCTACAAAGACTTAGGCTGGTCACAATGGGGAGGAACTTAGGAGTAACATCACACACTCCAATATAATTTTGCTTATGTGGCACATATTTAATGAAGAGAGAGGTGCTTGTGGTAACTAGCTAAGTTACCGAAACATCACACACTCCAAGAAACAATGAGTCTATAACCTAATAAATACATC